TTGTCTCCTTCAAAAGATGGCAATTTACAAGCCCAAGTAATTAGTAGATTAAACGAAAAGTCAGCCACGAAGCTAGACGCCTGAACACGAAGCAGGTTGCACGAAACCTCCATCCGCTTACCCCGACTCAAAAACAAGCAGCATCCGAGGTTTGGCTAGTGTTGGCCTTGATGGAAGGGGTGTAGCGGATTAACAGGGATTGTGCCTGAGTGAACCCTGTTTACCGACCCGACGGTGACAATGACTCATCTCTTTTCCATTGGTTACTGTTGTCAAATGCATGTCATCCGTTCACTCATCCACACACTAAGACACACTTGGCTGGCGTGAAGCTAATAAACGGTCGTGTCCTCTGTCGCCTCTCTTCTCTCCATTCTCAGGTTGTTACGGGCTGTTAACTAGAGGGTTGTAAGGTAGTGCTACAACTCTAGCCACAATAAGGGTATCCGTTTCAACTCTCCTTCCTGTGACTCAAATGATACGCATATTAGCGGAATTTATGCAGATATCTTTGCACAAAATCTAGACAAGAAAATCGTGCTGCAGTTCCCCATAGCATGGTTTGACTTCGGATATAGCAGTACAGAGTTTTGTCCAATTCAAAAGACCACAGTCGGTCCCTTTATCGCTACGGTCAAATAACGTGATGCCGATCACGAACCAGCGTCACCATGGCAGCGTTTCAGAAGCCCTGGATCTGCTGCCTAAATCATATTAAGGAAGTGTCTGGTTTATACAAAGGTAGCAGTCTCCTTGTAGATTATCGCAAGAGCGACGTCACACTAACCCTGGCGAATTAAGCTGAAGTGTTTGTGGTTAGTACAATCTGTACCAAACAGCGTCTACGAAATTCATTCGAATATTCAGATTGGTGGGCAAGTAATATCGGATTTTGCCTTAACACTTTTTTCCTCTTTTAACTTCCACACGTCGATTCAACCAGTTTGTACTCATTTCGAAAGAGACAATGTGGACGGTGTCTTTATTATCAGTAAAATGCTGCAAACCCACATTACTGCGGCGCCAAGCTTATTGTGGGTCCCAGTATGTGGTCTTGAACCACGCCGAGGCCACTGAGTTGGATCTGTCGAATGCCAGCTTTGATCAGTGGAGTGTCGACCCGTTGGAGTTGTCTGAAGCAAACCTTTTGCGTGCAGCTTCCACTAACTCCATGGCACTTACAGGCTTGCTTTTGGAGCGAGATCATCATCTAAACGGGATTTGTTAAAACATGTGTGAATCGCTGCGTTGCTCGGAGAACAAGTATTAGTTCCATTGCATTTACCATTCGATTTCAAATGCCCTTTTAACAGCACAAGAGAATTACTGGTTTTCTATATGCATTCTACTGGTATATTTTCAATATTGACTGACGTAGTGTGTGTTTTGGGTCCCAGCATGTGGTCACGAACCATGCCGAGGCCACTGAGTTAAACCTGACCCGATTTCACTTCACTGCTACCCGCGATGAAGAAAAAGATCGGAGAGGACGTGGACACAACCGTTTAATTCAGAGCTCTAAAAATTAGTGTCGTTGCGTCGTGTGTGGTGTTTGCGTCTGTGTATTTATACCTCAGATGTGTGAGTCATAGTAGAGCTAACATCGAGACCTAGGTATGAGGATAATCTAGGATAATGAGGAGTAAGTTGAGGATCGCGCCGCTGGCGACATGCTGCGAAAAGGGGAACCCTGTGTCGGAGGCTGAGGTGATCGGGTTAGCGAGCATGAACCAACGTGCTTCACACCAAGCTAATACAAAGGATGCAGACTCTTATTCTGAAAGAACCTTTTCAGGCCTCGAGAAGGTGAAGATAAAGTGTGGTTCTTTCCCAAACCACCGTTTCATTTGACCAGCCAACCCACATAAATGTTAACAAGCCCTTAACAGTTCTTGTTGACCTTTTTTCTCTGTACGCGCGAAAGGAGGAAATCGTCAGCGTGTTGATGTGGATCACAACGTCTTGTGATTCTTTTGGTTAAGAAACTCTAAAGGGAGGTATGCAAGGAAATGCGAGAAGGATAAAAACCTACTTAACAAACGGTTTATTGCCCCTAATTCTAACTTTCACCTCCTTGTTTATTCGAGAACAGTCGACTAATGAAAATTAGTAGTATGTTACCCTTTATGTCTGTTTTTAGAATAACACATGGTTTCTTTTACATTGTTTTAATGCATAGTGTAACTCAAACTCCGTGTTTATCCAGGTGAAGGAACCTACATTTCAGTAAACAGATTGTGTTAAAATTATTCGTGAAGGTTCCTTCGTATTTCTTGGGATTAAGACATATGTTCGTTGTTCTTCTTAATAACTTACACACAGCAAAATGTCGTTAAGGACGCATCAACCAAATATGCTTCATCCAGAAGCATTTTTCTTCATTTAACTTAAAGCCTTTGTTTTTCTTGTTTGTACAGCTTTCGACCCATGATGATTCCCAATTATGTTTGGAATTAAACTTACAGTAACACTTTCTGTAAATGGGAAAAATGCACGATCAATACATCAAAGTTTATTCGTGGTGGACATTGTCCGCTTTCCGAGCCTACAAAATTCATTTCTCTCATTTATAATCAGTTTTTTAACGTGCTACTATGCATTGTTAAGTAGCATTTAAAGAAAGCTTGATAAAGATGAGAAAACGTTTTCGTAGGGTTATTTATGGCACAAAGCGTCAAACTGTGACGAATATCGATATGATAGAAATGACACTTTATAAACACGGGGGATAGGGGAAAATTTTGAAACTGATACCAGAAACAGCCAATTGTTGTTCTCACGAAATCACGTGAAGATTGTCAGCCTGCCAGTTTAATTTGGGTGACAACTAAACTCACTGTAGGGTTTGCCTATTTACTAGTTGTGAATTTGTTTAAAATGATTTGGGAAATTTAGACATTCATTTGCACTGAGAAACCTCTGCATTAACAGAAACTGTCTTCAGTAAAACACAGATGCAGGTCAACAGCCAGAGTTAGAATTTGGAGTTCTAATCCTAAGAAGACCCCCAATTAGGCAGACTTTAATGAATTCATGCAAAAGAAAACCTTGAAAATAAAGCAGGGCAAGTCAAATCCTGTTTGATGTCAAATTAAGCAAACGATCTCACTAAAAGCACCGTGTAAATACCAATAAATAATGAAATTGGTTAAATAGCGTCATCACAAGTTAAGCATTATTAACCACGACCGCGCACCAGGGATATTCCCACTGCGCTATCGATTTTTCAATTGTTCGATTTTGTTTATATTCAGCCAGAAATGTAAAGTAGAGGAGTGTGTATCACATGACTACTGACATAACAAGTAGTTCATCACAAAGCGTTTAAGTGAAGTTTCGGAACACACGAATTCATTAGCCCCAAACTAAGTAGAATTACCACGTAAAATTTTGCATATCTCAATAAGTATCCAAACTACTTGGTTTACTACATTGGAAAAATGAATTAAAAGCGCAGGTCCGTAAATGCAATCACCAAATAAAAACATTAAAAATAAAAAAATTAGACTCGTCATGAAACTTCAGGACAATATTGATCTACTTTGGTGAGAAAAACGCTGATCGAAAAACAGCAGATTTGACAATTGTGATAGCATGCACCCAATATGCAACACGCATCAACACAGCCATTAATGCTTTAACCAAGTCATTCCATACGGAAATAACCTGACACTACAGCCTCCAGGTAAACCATCTCTGTCGTGTGGAGATCCCCCCACTCGAGATTTGAGAGAGATAGGTACCCGGACTCACGAATCCCCACACACACATCCGTAGACTCGGTTGTGTTCGCCAATGGGATTGGCACCTCTCCACACACTAACACCTACTACGTGTGTTGCGTCTCCACAAAACGCCACGCAGCACACTTTGATCTCCATTTATTTCCCCTATCACATTGGCTGAAACCTTTGTTGAAGACCAGCTTCCCCAAATTCACGTCCCAGATTATGAGGATCGCCAATGGCTCGCTGTCACACTGCAACCACACCCAACACTGCCCCCCTTCTGAATCCATCCTCCGCTGATCATCAACAATGTCTACAACAACAACAACAACAACAACAACAGCAACCCCAACGCCAACTCCGCATTACTCATCAAACAACTACCCTCCTTCCCACCACGCTTTACCTTCCTCGTGTGCCAACCACAGTGTGCAGAAGTTGGCATCCAATATCGCAAGTCAGGCTCAGTCCAAATTCGTCTGTTGGCAGCGTTGTTACTTGGAGAACTATCAGGCTCATATTGCCAACACCTGACCGTTCAGCCAAGCACACAATCCCTGACTTTGGCTTAGTAGTGGCACTGACTGATGATGATAAACTGCAAGAATTACTACCTTACTGACAACGACGCTTACCCCCAGCCACTCTCGTGGTGAGCAGTGCCGTCTTGGGTCATTCCAAGTCCACATTTATGCATTCCAGTTCACTTTGTTCTACCACCAGGCTGTTCGAATCATCCAATTCGGAAATGGGGAAGGAATGAGTGTGTCAACCTCTCGTCAACCGGCATGCATCCCCACATAACACAGGCGTGAGCCGCGTTGTCTGATTTGACGTCCATGGCAGTGCTTGCAAGTCATTTCAGATTGGGCCTACACAACAAGCACATGGTTCAGAAATTCGCAACTAGACGGACACATTGCGCCTGATTTGCTTTCGGACACTACACATCCATTGTCAATCATCTGCTTCAGCGAATGTGCTTGATTTATCTGCTGCTGACGAAGCTGCTAACGACGGATCTCACACACCTGCCTCATCTGACGAGTGGTGGGTGCCAAATGGCAGCAACACCCCCGTAGCACATCTGGGGCTAAATGAGGTGCAGTTTGCTCAATTTAGTGTATGCATGCGTGCCCAACCACGTGGTTCTCAGCAAAGCAGCAGCGTCTTGATATGGAACGTGGCGGGAGAACGACAACGCTGCAGACAAGCACCGTTGGTCGGAATCCATAGCAAACGTCTGTCAGACCTTAGACGAGACAGAAACCAATGTCTGACCACCGAGCCCTCAAGTCCACATCTTCACGCCCACGCCACCCACCTCGTCAAATCACACGTGGCATGAACTTCACACTTTCCGGCGCCGGTTTCGTGGCCGACTTCGCTCTGCAAACCAGTCACAGTGACCTGAGTGTTGACGCCCACATTGCGCCTTTTCCGCTCTCTCGTCCACTTTTAGAAATCAGCACAATCTCAATCCAGCAAGGATAGTGCAAATTATATCATTTGCCTCTGGTTTCGCGCTAGCTCACAGTCACTTCAATAATCATAATTAAATTACCTAGCCTCCTAGATGTTTCGTGTCACGATTATGCCTGTATTTCCCTGTGATTTCGTAAATCGGAGACGAAATTGTCATCTGCATAGGCAACTATTGTTGCTTATTCGTTTTGCCTAACTTCTGTTGCAATCATTCTTAAGATGATGATATCGTAAAAGAAACTCTCGTTTAGATGAGACTTCAGTGAATGCCTCGACACATGGAAACTGTGATGCTGCATGATTAATCACTAAAATTGCACTATTTTAGACTAAAACAATACTATCTGTCGAAATTTCACAAAAATGTATTCCCTGACAGTTACGTAATCCTATTTTGTGTAGCCGAACTTGCATGTAGAAATGAATGGCGCCTTGTCGATTCCAAAGACTGCGTTCTTAGAAATCAGATTCACGTAATTTTTTCGATATTTTTTTTTATCTTGAAAGCAGATAAATATTGTCAGAATAGATGTTCATGATTATTTGTGTATACACACTGAAGAACGTCGATACTCTGAAAAATGGTAACAGTCTCTTGTATGGTCCATTGACAACGCAGTTTTGCTTAAAATTGTCAGTTATTATCTGGCTATTACCTTGGAACTAGCCCAGTCTTCAAAAAATCAATCCCAAATTTTTCTAGTGGTACCCTTAAATCCTAGTCCGAGTTGTGAACGGATACCCTGGAATTTCAACTTGAACCTGAGTTTCCATAGGCACTTTCAAGCATCGTCATTCATGGCCCTCCCAACGCGTGCACAACATGTGTTGCCGTTAACCACGTAGCCGTGCTGAGGGAGCGACAGGCAGTCGTTTGGCTGAATCAGTAAATATAAAGGTCAAACATGCAATCAGCTTTAATTCATTTACTAATAGCATTTGTATGATGTAGGCTAAGTGAAAAGAAGAGGTTTATGAGATTTCTGAACTCAGGAAAAGGGCTCATGAGATGGTGGCGAAAGGTGGTGCTAGTGGACACCCCTTTGACCAGGTCTTCACATTCCCATGTATGATATCTGAATGTCAGTTAATGTTTGACAACGCGAAAGGAATGCTTTTAAATTGGCAAATGCGAAACTGCCCATAATGCACGTGCATACGAGACACATGACATTTGAGAATACACGGGGCCAGACTCACCTCAGCAGCAGTAGGAGCAGTCTCTGCGGCGTTGCAGCGAACCTCTGACCTAGCGTCAGACCACAACACACCCGTCGGTAATTGAGCGAGAGATGTGGATTTTCTAGGCGCTGAACTTTTGCAAATCGTCTTATTAATACGCACACGAGCAAATGAATAAGGATTAAGTTTTGGTTAAATCCGCATCTGGGTTTATCAAAATCGAAAAAAAACTCGTGAATGCCGACTTTATTAACATTTAGATGTACCAATAGTTCTGACAGCTGTTTTCTTGATTGATAGGAAGTGTTTGATTCATTGATTATCGATCGTCTTGGCCACTATTAAAGTAATTTGGCTCCATACACAGCAACCACATCACATCAAAGGATATTAAATCGAAGAAAAATCCTGAATGACCACAAGCGCAATGCCGGGTTTGTCACCCAATTTGAGGCCCGGATTTCTGCGGTATCATCAGCCTATCTGCCTGTTATGACCTCCCACGTAGGAGGTGCAGTTTGTCAACAAATTTATTGTGGCATAGTAAGGCCTGCCAAGAAAGATAAAAGGAATCAAGAAGACGAGTTGTAGCGGACTGACAAAAGGTAGGGTGTGATCCATTAGGAGTAAATTATGATTACCTAAACAACTTACTATTAGCTAGAAAAAATCAATAACCACACATCTACGCGCAAACGATCCTCTGACTAACACACGCTCATCCATTCAAACGCAAAGACAAAATCATGACCAAGTGGAGAGGGCTTGTACTGTCATAATCAAACTGGGGATTGTGAATGCATGAGAAAGAGGGCAAACGCAATTTAAGATTTGCTAAGGCAAACTCGGCTCTGTGTGCGGACGCGACCCAGTTCATCGTGCAGGCAGATTTGACTGGCCCCTCGCATGCCAAGGCAAATGCCGCCCTCAAAAATAGCCGAGACGCGTGAATTAGGAGCTATAAAAAAACCTCTGGTGTACCTTTCGGACTGTGCGTGGGCTATTATTGTTTACAAACCAGGAGGTAGACCATTAAACTTTTCTTACGATATGCTACACCTTATTTAGTAGCTTAAGTTGAAAATGGACGATATTTTATAGCAATTCACGTACGGTTTGTGTCAGTCCAGGTGCTGGAATTTCATTTTAATACAGTCGGACTGCGCACCATACTTAAAGCATCTCCATATTTGAACGTCCTGTACTTGGTGCAGCGCATGTTGATTGATGGAATAGTTTGTTTTCATCCGAACACCGCTTCCACGCAACAATTACTGTTCGGCCTTTGATAAAGTAACAAGACAATTTCGGTACCAATGCCATTATGTTTGCACATAAAATTGAGTAATTTTCTTGAAAATGCGACAAGAGTGGATAGGTAAATCCACGAGGATATCTTCTATTCATTTGCATAGGAGACAGCATTTTTCGAGGGCGATAATTTTAGTTACTGTTCTGAAATATGCTAAATTTGTAGATGGTGTAAATGACCTTAATCCCATTTTTAAAATATTCCAATTTACAAACCAGGTTGGAATCCAAGCCTATGAGAGAATTAAGCATTTAGAGAATCCAAATGGGAAAAGAAGGTGATCTACGTCGCTGAAGGTCACCACATTTTTCGACCAATCAAAACGCTTGTTCCAAAGAGTGGGCTATAGTGCTGTGGCATCCCTAGTAATCAGCGTCAAACAGCCTTAGTAAGCCCACTTGCTTGTAAAACCTTTTTCTTTAATGGAAAATCCTAAGACTCTTACGACCAAGTGATTAATTTAGCTCAAGGGAAATATTTATAACTGTCGTTTTTTTGAGTTATAGAATAAAGTACAAATTCGGTAATAAATATCATCGTATGAATCGCACCCAGCCTCTCGAGGAGCTAGAAATCTGAAATTCTACTTCATTCAAAATGCCAGCCTTCGTAAAAAAGAACAAGATTGCCCATAATGGGATTTTGCTGCAGACTTTTACGTTAACCAAAGCTAGTGGGTGGAAAGAGAAATTAAAGGAGGCGAGGATGTAGGATATTGCCATTGGGGCATTCAAGATGCCAGTTGTTGTGTTATTGAGATAAGCCATTTCCCCCATTGCAAATGCACACGAGCGACAGTAGGTGGTAGGTCAACTTGTCAATAAACACAAACGCCAACGCTTGATCGCGTCATGACCTTGTCGGTGTGCTGATTTCTAAAAGTGTACTTTCACCAGAGTGCAAGATTAGTACGGTGTCGAGCATAGTGGACGTAGAGAGCGGAAAAGGCGCAATGTGGGCGTCAATACTCAGGTCACTGTGACTGGTTTGCAGAGCGAAGTCGGCCACGAAACCGGCGCCGGAAAGTGTGAAGTTCATGCCACGTG